GCGCAGGCGCTCCGACCCGCCGCCGACCTCCGCGCAGGCGCTCGCGACTCGCGGCTCGGGCGCCCGCCTCGGCCTGGACTCCCGCCGCGTAAGGCGACGCGACGGCCCCACAGGTCTGCACACGCCGCCTCTGGAAGGGACCCCGCCCCCTCTGCGAGGGCGGCCGACAGCGAGGGCTCTCGAGCCACACGCGCGCTCTGAGGCGCTCCTAGGACGAGGAGGTCGGCCGGGCGGCCGGCCCGCGGAACTCCATCTCCCAGCATGCACCGCCCCGCGCGGAGCGCTCGGACCGCCGCGCTCCCTGGAAGAGGCCGCACCTCCTTTCCTGCTGGGCGTTCCTGGAGGAATCTGCGTGGGGAGAGGGCGGCGGCCTCCTTGAGGTCCGGATCCCGCCCCGCAGCCGCTGAGGAAGGGATGTGGGGGGCGCCCGCGCCCAGCTCTCGGCCTGCGGCGCCACGGAGCTCCCGGTCGGGACAGCTGACGCTCGGGCGGGCCGTCCTGAGTGCCGCCTCCTGCGTCTTGGTGAGTGCCGCGGGGCCACCCTCCTCGTCCCTCGTTCTCGAGGAGGTCCCTTTGTGGACCCCTCCTTCCAGGCCGGGAGGAACGCCTGTTCCGGGTCTGTCCTTGGGCAGGGTCTCTTTACGGGTCTCCTGTTGGTCTCCTTACCGGATGTCTTCCTGGGGCGGGGACTCCCCTTCTTGGGGCTCGCCCCAATTCTCCGAGCCCAACACCCCACTTCTGCTCCTTTCCCGGTGTCGTGTGGTGCACGTTATTCTCGCATCATCCACGGTTTCTGTGAAGAAGACGCAAACAAAACACCCGTGAGGGCCTATGCGCAGTGTCCTGCAACACCTGTTTTTAAAGCTGAGTGTCTCGAAGGTGTCAGAGAGAAGCGAGAGACAGCGAGGTCGGTCTGGGCAGAGCATTCTTCCCTAAATTTTTGGTGTGGATTATTGTGGGAGTAAGCAGTCTAGCGAGTGGAGGCGACCAGGAAGGCTTGCCTCTCCTCTGGGGGCTTTCTCGGGGCAAGGAGAAAGGAAGGCGGGACTGGGCAGACGCGGTACAGCCAGCTTCACAGGGTGGATTTGCTTGCTGCTCCCCACTGCAGGAGTATTTACCGCAGCTGAAAGGGCTTTTGTTCACGCGTCCCCTTTGATTCTTCCTGATGGCTTTCCACCACCAGCAGGCTGGCAGTGCTTCCGTCTCCGCGGGTCCTGGCCCCTGAACAGGTAGGGCTGGAATACCCCTGCGCAGGAGATGCGGCGCACAGGTTAGGAGCTCCTCCATTCTGCTGCTCCACCTCTGCTTGGGCATCCTTCTGGTCATTCTTTGGGTCAGAACATCTTCTAGGTCGCCCACTACCAGTTTTCTAAAAGTACTCTCAATCACTGAAGTAACTTGTGAAACACTTGCTTTTTCTAGAGGTTTCACTTAAATATTGTAAAGCTTTTTAATGATCTAAGAATTTTCCTTCTTGGCTGGTGAGATGGCTCAGTGGTCTAAAGCACCTACTTGGAACAAGCTTGGCGAAGCACAGAAACCGCGGTTCGATCCCCCAGCACCACATGCCAGCCAGCCCCGCCCCCTGGTGGG